TATTGGTGGATGAGTGAATAAAGAAAATGTGGTATATATATCTTCCTTAAAAAAGAAGAAAATTCTGTCATTCGTGATAACATGGATGCAACTGGAGGGCATTATGTTAAGTGAAATAAACCAGACACAGAAAGACAAATACTGAAATCTAAAGAAGTTGGACTCACAGAAACAGATAATAAAATAGTGGTTGCCAGGAGCTGGGTGTGTGTGAATGAGGTGTTCATTCAAAGGGTGCAAACTTTCATTTGGATGGGATGAATAAATTCTGGCGATCTCTTTTACAGTATGGAGACTAGAGTCAATAATAATGTATTACGTACTTGAACATTGCCAAAAGACTAGATCTTAAATTATCTCACCATCAAAAGATAAATATGAAAGGCAGTGGATATGTTAATTAGCTGATTTTAACTTAATACATTTAGTTTAATACATGTAAATACAATATAATAAATTTAATACATGTAAATATATAATACATTTAATACATTTAGCTTAATACATGTAAATATAATACATTTAATTTAATACATTTTATAATTTATACATAAATCAAAACATCACACTGTACTGTAAATATGTATGATTTTTATTTGTCAATTATGCCTTAATAAAGCTGAGGAGGTTTCAGAAAAATAAATAAATAAATAACATGGTAAACAATAAAAGTAGGCCGGGTGAGGTGGCTCACACCTGTAATCCTGGCATTTTGAGAGGCCGAGGTGGGAGGGTTGCTTAAGCCCAGGAGTTTGAGACCAGCTGGGCAACATAGTGAGACTCCATCTCTACAAAAAATAAGAAAGATTAGCCGGGCAGTGGTGTGCACCTATGGGTCCCAGCTACTCGGGAGGCTGAGGCAGGAGGATCACTTGTGCTCCAGAGTCGGAGGTTACGGTGAGCTGTGATCGCGCCACTTGCACTCTAGCCTGGGTGACGGAGGGAGATCCTGTCTCTAAAAGTATAAATAAGTAAAAAATAAAACTAAGTTGTAAATGTAATGACATTTGCTCTGTGTAACCTGATCAGAGTGGAGCGTGTCCAGTAGGAGCCATCATTGGAGGCTCCCTTGAGACAGCCTGAAAGCCTCCTGTCCACAGTGGCTCTTCTTCTCACATGCAGGGGGCCTGTGGTGTGAAGGATCCCCCAGCCCCACTCTCCTGGTGTCATCTTTTGGGCAAAGGAAGGGCGTCCCAGGCTGCCTGGCGAGGCAGGCCTTCTACCCCTCACCCAAGAGAAGCAACTGAGCAGCAGGGCTGAAAGATGTTCAGGGCTGAAAGATTGTTGTGGAATTGGCACAAGTTACTCAGAGGCCTTTGGGGACAAGGGGACCCAGATCCCAACCCCTCCAAAGTCACGAGAGCCTCCTTGCGAGAGGGAGAGCAGCGGACCCCCGCACTGCTAGCACTGCAGCAGGGAGAGTTCCTGGTATTATGGTCTGCTCACTGTGTATTTCCCGCCCCATTCTTCGTGGCACCCACAGGGCCCTCTGCTTGCACAAGACAGAAATAGAGACTCAGTGATGGGGCAGGAACATCTGAGCTGGACTTCGGAAAGTTGGCGACCTTCTTTTGTACTCCAAGCTGGGGAAACAGAAATCACAGGAAAGGCCTCCTACCTGTGGGAGAAATCTGTTTTTGCTGGGCTTCCTGGGCCTAGTTCACCTACCTTCTTCTGCCCAGTGGACAGACATTGGCCACCATGGCTAGGGTTGTCAGACTTAGCAAATACAAATGCCACATGCTCAGCTAAATTTGAATTTCAAATAAAAAACTAAAAATCTTTTAGTAAAAGGATGTCACAAATATTGCTTGGGATATTCTTATACTATAAAAAATTGTTTATCTGGAATTCAAATGGAAGTGGACATCCTGCATTTTATCTGGTAGCTCCAGCCTCAACCCCCGCTGCTGCCCCTGTGGGTCCAGGGCTGGTTAAGTCCCAGCTCTGCAGGACTTCTCCGACCTGGTGCCTGACTCTCCCCCCACCTCCCATCCTGACCCACATCCTGGGCTTGCAGATGTGGAGTTCATGAGGTAGGGCCAAGTCGGCCTCCCCAGGCCTTTGTCTCCGGCAATGTTTGTCTCCAGGTGAGTGGAGGCAGGGCCTGGAAGGCACATTGCTTTGTGGGGCTGGCTCCTGGAGTGAGTCAGAGCCGTGGTTAGCATTCATTCAGAAACTGCTCATTTCAAAAGCATCTCCTGCCTGCCTTTTACCTTTCAAACACTTTCTTTGTTGTGATTTTCTGCAGTCCTTTAACCGATTATCCTTTTTTATGAATGATCCTTTTTTGTATTCTCTGCCTTTCTCCCCAGAGCTTTTATAACTCTGAGAAGCTTAAGGGTAATTTAGGCTGCATGGCCGCCCTCCCAGTCTGGAGCCTTCAGAACTGTGGGCTCCAGGGGGCTTCTGCACCCCTACTCCCAGCCCCCACCCTGGGGAGGTCCTGGTTCCAGGTCTCTTTCCTGGAGTCAGGAATCCTTAGCTGCATCTTCTCGGACCTGCTGGCCTAGGGGAGAATCCATGCTTCCTGAAGGCGGCAATGTCCAGGGACATGTGTCCACTCCATGGCCACCTCCTCTGAGCCAGGCTCTTGGCACGGTTGGGTAACCCTGCTCCCTGCCCTTGTCCGGGATGCTCTCAGAGTCCCTGCTCCCTGCCCTTGTCCGGGATGCTCTCAGAGTCCCCGCTCCCTGCCCTTGTCCGGGACGCCCTCAGAGTCCCCGCTCCCTGTCCTTGTCCGGGATGCCCTCAGAGTCCCTGCTCCCTGTCCTTGTCCGGGACGCCCTCAGAGTCCCCGCTCCCTGCCCTTGTCCGGGACGCCCTCAGAGTCCCTGCTCCCTGCCCCTGTCCGGGATGCCCTCAGAGTCCCTGCTCCCTGCCCTTGTCCTGGATGCCCTCAGAGTCCCTGCTCCCTGCCCTTGTCCTGGATGCCCTCAGAGTCCCCGCTCCCTGTCCTTGTCCGGGATGCCCTCAGAGTCCCCGCTCCCTGCCCTTGTCCGGGACGCCCTCAGAGTCCCTGCTCCCTGCCCCTGTCCGGGACGCCCTCAGAGTCCCTGCCCCCTGCCCTTGTCCGGGACGCCCTCAGAGTCCCTGCTCCCTGCCCTTGTCCGGGACGCCCTCAGAGTCCCCGCCCCCTGTCCCTGTCCGGGATGCCCTCAGAGTCCCCGCTCCCTGTCCTTGTCCGGGATGCCCTCAGAGTCCCCGCTCCCTGCCCTTGTCCGGGATGCTCTCAGAGTCCCTGCTCCCTGTCCCTGTCCGGGATGCTCTCAGAGTCCCCGCCCCCTGTCCCTGTCCGGGATGCTCTCAGAGTCCCCGCTCCCTGCCCCTGTCCGGGATGCTCTCAGAGTCCCCGCTCCCTGGCAGGTGCACTGTGGGATGGAAACCCGAGCGGCGCGTCAGCGGCGGGCCGGCGGCGGCGGCGGGCGGCGCGGCAGGACGCCGGGCTTAGGC